GGTATGCTAATTTGAAGCCTGAAGATATGAGATCTTGGATGGATTTATCGACTGCTTTTGTGAGGCAGTATGAATATAATTGCGAGCTCGCTCCGACGAGAACCACGTTGGAGGGAACCAAGAGGAAACCATCGGAGGACCATAAGACGTATGCGAAAAGATGGAGGAAGCTGCCTGCCAAGGTGGAGCCTCCCATGACCGAAAATAAATTGTTCGCACGTTTATTAAAGCTCATGACCCACCCTACTTTGAAGAGATTTTTCGAATGACGGGATGTTCCTTTGCAGAGATTGTCAATAAATTGGAAGAATATGACGAGTTCATAAAAGCAGGGAAAATTGTCAATGTTTCAGTTTTGAAGTCACAGTTGGAAGCCATGCAAAGTCAAAATAGTGTAGTAAGAAGCCTCAATTTAAGAAGAAAGACGAGGAAGCATCTTTTGTCTGGAACCAGGGTTTTTTTCTCGGCCTAGATATCAACAAAATCCCGCCTACTCACCGTTACTTATTATCAACCACACCCCGCCCTGTTTACAATACCACTATCAACCACCCCCGTCCTCGACCAAATTACCAAACACACCATCAACGCCATTTCATATTTCCCCACCGAACTTTCAAATTAGACCTCGCCCTCCTTTTAACCCAAGACCTATTCCCTCCTAACCCAAATTACCAGTACCAACAAATCCGTTATACCCAAAATCCAACCCCATACCGAACCTTTACCAATCTAGGTCGACCTGTTGACAGTTATATGAGCAATTAAAAGCTGCTGGAAGATTGGTACGGTACCCCCTAAGACCTATCCCAGGGGATTTCCCTGGTTATGATCCTCAGTCATTTTGTGCTTATCATTTGGGATCCCCTGGACATCTGACGGTCAATTGCTGGGCGCTTAAGCATAAAATTCAAGATATGATTGATGCTGGAGACATAATTCTGAGAAGGAAAGATGAACAAGGGCCAAGTGTTAGCAACAATCTTTTCCTCAGCACAAGGATACTGTGGGAACTATCACCATAGAGGAAGGGATTGAGGACCTACACAGTATATTGTAGATGAGGCCGAGGTCACAAGGGTCATTGAGAACCATTCATATTGAGGAGGACGCCTATGAAGAAATACTGATCCTTTTATTAAATGATACCCTTTGAATGTGAGCCTTCGGAGCTTGTGGTGCTTGAATTGCCTGAGCAAGTCCTGTTCTTAATTTACAAGAGGTCCCATGGAATTATAGCGAACCTACACTATTAATTGGAGAGAGAAGGTGCCCAAGAAAGAAGTGGATGCCATCACTAGATCTGGAAGAATCATAGGGAGCCCGCAGTTGATGAATCTCAAAGCAAAAGAAGGTGCTACGCCAACGAAACCCATAGTGACGGATGAAGAGGCTTTTAATTTCCTTAAGATGTTAAAGAAGAGTGAGTATAAGGTAGTCGAGCAATTGGACAAGATGCCCGCTCAAATTTCATATTAAATCTGCTCTTAACCTCGGAACTTCACCGAGAGGCTCTGGTCAAGGTCTTAACTGAGGCTCAAGTGCCTAAAAATATTCCAATTGACAAATTCGCCAATGTAGTTGAACATGTTTTGGCTTCCAGTCGGATTTCTTTTTCTGATGAAGATCTAACTGCCGAGGGGATTGGACACAACAAAGCTTTGTATATCTCAGTCCGCTGTAACGGGAAACTCTTGCCAAGGTTCTATAGACAATGGATCAGCTCTCAATATCTGCCCTTGGAATACTTGGTTAAGTTAGGATTTCAGGAGGCTAAATTGCGGCCGTCAACCACTGTGGTGAAGGATTTGATGGCGTGAAAAAGGAACCAATGGGGGAAGTGGATTTAGTGTTAGAAATCGGACCTGCCCAATTTCAGTCATGTGCCAGTCATGAATTTTTCAAGTGTTTATACATTCTCCTTGGACGGCCTTGGATTCACATTTCGGGTGCTATACCCTCTTCACTTCATCAATTGCTGAGATTTGTGGTGAATGACAATTGATCACAGTTTTTGCGGAGGATGATTGCACAATGATTGTTAATTCTGGACCAAATGAGGAGGATAGCAAAAATCTCTGCTTTCCTCTCACCATGTGGCTGACATTGTTTCCGTAGGATGGATATCTAAGGAGAAGCCAGTGGTGGAAATGAATTTGCCAGAAGCTAGTGTTATGATGGCTAAAGAGATGATTCGAGGAGGATATGAGATGGGCAAGGGCCTTGGGCGCACCTGCAGGGAGTTTTGGAACCAATAGAGCTGCAAGGAAGAAGGACACTTCGGATTGGGTTTCAACCTACTCAAGGATAAAAAGAAATGATGAATCGCAAAAAGGCAGAGAGGAGGAAGGCAATTTGTCATGAATATCCCACCATTATATTGTACTTTTCCTTACCCATCAGAGGTGATCAAGCTGAAGTAGACCCAATCGAAGAAGTGGAGGTTGGGTTGTCTGAGTTATTTGTGGGGGTTATTTCTGAGAGGGAGCTATTGGAAGACCTAGAATTTCCAGAGGTGTCTACCGAAGCAATGAAGAATTGGACCAGTGATTTTCTTCCCTCTCGAAAGGGTTTCGGTAAATCTGGAAATTGCCTTTGGTCGCCATGAAAGAACTCATTCGCATTGTTTATATTTTGTCTTTCAGTTTTGTAAATAGTTTTTTTAATCAAATGTTTTCTAATGCAAGTCTAGCTTTAAATTTCTGTTAAGTAGCATGTCAGATGTTATCCTTTACTTTGAATTTTAATGAAATGTACAGTGTTGATTTTTCCAAATTGCTTTAACTTACTTATTATTGTATTTATTTTTTTTTCAGATGGCCAAAATAAAACACTTGACCCTTTGGATATACTTTCTGGAATTTGATGATTGCAATCTCGATATCTCTCACGAATTTGAAATTTTGGAATCAGAAATTCAAGATGAAAGCGATAGCGAGGAAGAATCTGAATCTTTTTATTAAAGATCTTGAACAATATGAAGAGAAATCCAAATCGAACTTGAAGAAACAGAAGTTGTTAATATTGGCACTGAGACTGAAGTTAAGGAGATAAAGATTAGCATTCATTTGAATAAGAAACAGAGAAAAGAGATGATTGAGTTCTTGACCATGTTTCAAGATGTATTTGTCTGGTCCTATGATGATATGCCTGGAATTTCAACAGATATAGTGGTCCATCGATTGCCAACCGATCCAAATTTCCACCAGTGAAGCAAAACCTCGCAAGTTTAAGTTAGATATGAGCCTTAAAATCAAGGAACAACTCGAGAAGCAGCTCAATGCCAGAATTATTATGGTGTCTCATTATCCCATTTGGCTTTCAAACCCTGTACCTGTTCCGAAGAAAAGTGGAGAAGTGCGCGTTGTGTTGATTACAGGGATCTTAATAAAGCCAGCCCGAAAGATGATTTTCCATTGCCGAACATTCATATTCTTTGGACATTACTGCAGGACATGAGATTGAATCATTTGCTGATGTTTCGCGGATATCACCAGATCTTAATGGCAGAAGAAGATAGGGAGAAAACTGCTTTCATCACGCCATGAGGGACATTTTGTTACCGAGTAATGCCGTTTGGACTGAAAAAACAGGCGCTACTTATCAAAGGACTATGACCACCCTTTTCACGATATGATTCATAAGGAGATGGAGGTTTATGTGGACGATATCATTATTAAATCCGAGAGAGCGGAGGATCATTTGATTGACTTGGAGGTTATTTGAAAGGTTGAGGAAATATGATTTAAAACTAAACCCTGCAAAGTGCCATTTGGGGCCCCTGCCGGAAAGTTATTGGGATTCATTGTCAGTAAGAAGGGTATAGAGATAGATCTGGCAAAATTAAGCCATTCGTGAGATGCCAGTGCCAAGAACGCAAAAGGACGTGAAGAGTTTTTTAGGAAGATTAATTTTATTGGGAGATTCATTGCCCAATTGACCCATACGTGTGAGCCTTTGTTCAAATTATGGAAGAAAAGTGTGTCCTTGCAATGGAGTGAGAATGCCAGCAGCGTTTGATAAGAAAGGATTATTTATTGCACCCCCAGTTTTAGTACCACCCAAATCCGGGCGACCTTTGATCATGTACTATCGGTGTTGGACGAAACTATGGGATGTGTATTGGGACAACACGACGAATCGGGGAAGAGGGAGCAAGCTATCTATTACCTTAGTAAGAAGTTCACTGCGTATGAGCCAACTATTCTTTTCTGAGAGGAGTTGCTGCGCTCTAGCTTGGGCCGCTCAAAAGTTGAGACATTATTTGCTCAGTCATACTACTTACCTCATTTCCCGCTCCGACCCTTTGAAATATTTGTTGGGAAAGCCTATGCCGACGGGACGTATGGCGAAATGGCAGATGATTCTTTCGGAATTTGACATTATTTTCACTACCAGAAGGCTATCAAGGCCAGGCTGTGGCCGATCATTTGCTGAAAATCCGCTGAGAGATGATTCAACCGCTTCACACTTATTTTCCGGATGAGGAGGCCTGTTCGTGGGTATAGCAGAAGATATGAATGATCAATGCCCGGAGTGGAGGTTGTTCTTTGACGGTGCGTCGAATTCCTTCGGGGCCGGTATTGGAGCTGTTCTAGTATCCCTGAAGGAAAGCATTACCCTGGTTCAGCCAAACTCCAATTTTCTGTACTAACAATACGGCTGAATATGAAGCTTGCATTTTTGGGTTAAAAATGGCATTAGAAATGGAGATTAAGGATTTACTAGTATTCAGCGATTCAGATTTGCTTGTACATCAGACTCTCAAGGAGTGGATCACTCGGGATTCAAAGATCTTGCCTATCATTGCAGCTTACTGAGTTAGCGAATAAGTTTAGGAGTTTGGAGTTTTGGCACATTCCCCGTGTCAGAAATATCTTTGCCGATGCTTGGCCACTTTATCTTCAATGATCAACATCCAGATGAGTTGGTAATTGAACCCATCCAGATTCATCTACAAGAAAAACCTGCTCACTGCCTAGTTGTGGAAAAGTCTTCCGATGGCCGTCCCTGGTACAACGATATCAAGGAATTTCTCAAAACAGGGTCCTATCCATCTGGGGCCGATACGACTGCCAAAAGCTTCTTGCGTAGATTATCATCTAAATTTTCTTGAATGGAGAAGTAGTATACAAAGAACGTCAGATTTGGGTCTTCTGAGGTGTGTTGACGAGGATGAAGCAGAACATCTGATGAAAGAAGTACATAGTGGAGTGTGTGGATCACATATGAATGGCCATTTATTAGCAAAGAAGATCATGAGGACTGGATATTTTTGGCTTACTATGGAGCATGATTGTATAGTTTTTGTTAGGAAATGCATCAAGTGTCAATTGCATGGAGATGTTATGCATCCTCCCCCTACAGAATTACACAGTATGACTGCTCCATGGCCATGTTCAATGTGGGGCATGGTGTGATTGGAGCCATTGACCCTCCCGCTTCAAATGGGCATCGGTTTATTCTGGTGGCAATTGAATACTTTACCAAGTGGGTCGAAGCTGAGTCTTATAAGCATGTGACTAAGAAGGTGGTAACGGATTTTCTAAGGAAGATATCATTTGTCGTTTTGGAGTGCCGAAATATTAATCACTGATAATGCCAAAAATCTCAATAATGACATGGTGGATGGTTTGTGCGCACAGTTCAAAATCAAACATCGAAACTCCTCTATTTATAGGCCACAGATGAATGGAGCAGTAGAGGCTGCAATAAGAACTTGAAGAAAATAATCCGTAAGATGATTGAGAGACATCGTGATTGGCATGAAAAGCTCTCTTATGCATTAATGGCATATAGGACTGTTATTCGGACTTCTACTGGGGCAACTCCCTACAATCTCATGTACGGTATGGAAGCAGTTTTACCAGCCGAAGTCGAAATCCCTTCTTTGCGCATTTTAATGGAAGCCAAGCTGGAGGAGGCCGAATGGATGCAACAACGTCATGAGCTGTTGTCTTTAATCGATGAGAAAAGGTTAAATGCCATTTGTCATGGTCAATGCTATCAAAAAAGGGTAGCCCATGCTTACAATAAGAAGGTCAGACAGCGGATATTCACCGAAGGAGATAAAGTGCTGAAACACATTTTGCCAGTACAAGAGGAAGCTAAGGGGAAATTTGCACCAAATTGGCAAGGCCCTTTTATTGTTCAGAAAGTTCTACCCGGGGGAGCGCTCATTCTCGCAGAAATGGATGGGCAAGTGTTCCCTCAACCAATCAATTTGGATATGTGTAAGAAATTTTTCATATGATAAATGAAATTTTCCTTTTTAGGGTTAATGTAAAGAATGGAATTAAAAGTCAGGCCTTCTTCCTTTCCAATCAAACATTCTATCCCTAGTTATCCCTTTTTTGAGCCTTCAGAGCAAAATTATTTCGTTTGACAACCACTGAGAATCGCAAACCCCACACTGGGGCAAATTTTGAGTTGAAAAAGCTAAGAAGGAAAAGAAAAGAAAAGAAAAGAGAGATTTCAAAAGGAAAAGCCATAAAGAAAAATGAAGAGGAAAAATGAAAAAAAAAAGAGGATCTTGATTGAGAATAAACTGGGGCAATCATTAGTAGAGTTAATTTAAAGATGCGATCTCAGGAAATCTAAACATTCATAAGTCCGCTTCAAGCCTTAACCCTTTCTGAGCACCCCACCAGACCCCATTGCAAAAACCTAAAAGTCCTGACTTCTGTTCTTTATATTACCTTTTTAGGACAATTTCTGATCAAGTGGCACATGATGTCAAAAACACCTCCCCTTTTTGCAAGGGAAGGATTGTTATACTGATGCCATTATTTCTTAAAACACATTTCTGGATTAATATGGGCGATGGACAAGATTTGTTTGGTGAAAACCCGCAAGGGCACCTTAAAAAAAAAACAACAACAACAAACAACAAATAACAACAATGGGCGGGGGCAACCTTAGTAAAAACCCGAAGGGGCGCTGAGGTAGGGTATCATAAGGAAAAGTAAGTTTGGATCCGAAAAGCTGGTGACTTAGTTCATTGGAATTTCTCCTCATATTGCAGTTCTCTTTGTCAAGCATGGAACTTCCGAAGATTGATATCCAAGGGGTCAAAAGCGGCATTTAGTTCGAGAACTCAAATGTTCGATTTATCAAACACGAGATTTGGCTACACAAGCTTATTTATTTGAAAATGATTTTTCATGCAATAAAAGTAGAGGGTTGTGTTTATATTGTTCATTTAGAATGTTTTTCATGTGTTGCATGGTCACATTTGTCTCTTTTGTTCTATCAAATGGCAATCCCCATGATTTATCGAAGAGAATAGATACTAGATGACACGTTGGTTTGCATATGAGAAAATTATGAAAACTTGATGTTGCTCGCAGGGCAAGATTGAAGTACCCGCTTCGCCAAATAAGGAGTCTAAATGCTCATGTTTACACTTCTCTTGAAGAGTGGTTGATCGGATGGAGGCGGTTTTATCTATCATTATTTCTTTTCTTGCAGGTCTGATAGTCCAATAAGCATAACACTGGGGCAATTTAGAGGAAGTTGTTTATTTCCTTCCTCAAATTCTACGAAGGTTTGTACGGATCGACCAAATGAAGAACCTCGGCAGGCTCGGGTTTTATCCCACTGACCGCTTTTATTCTCAGCAGGCTCGGGTTTTATCCCACTGACCGCTTTTATTCTCGGCAGACTCGGGTTTTATCCCACTGACCGCTCTTATCCTCGGCAGGCTCGGATTTTATCCCACTGACCGCTTTTATTCTCGGCAGACTCGGGTTTTATCCCACTGACCGCTTTTAATCTCGGCAGGCTCGGGTTTTATCCCACTAACCGCTCTTAACCTCGGCAGGCTGGGATTTTATCTCACTGACCGCTCTTATTCTCGGCAGGCTCTGATTTTATCCCGCTGACCGCTTTTAACCTCGGCAAGCTCGGGTTTTATCCCACTGACCGCTTTATTCTCGGCAGACTCGGGTTTTATCCCACTGACCGCTCTTATTCTTGGCAGGCTCGGGTTTTATCCCTTTGATCGTTTTCTCAATCATTTAATTGATAATTGTGTTTATCATTCATTTTGTATTTCATGCTTAGAAGTTCTGAGAGTTTTGACTTCCTCTACTTTGCAAAGATCAAATATAGTCAACGCATTTGTTTCATTATGGTTCATTTGTATTCGAACTACGTTCGACCTGATTCCCATGATGGGATACGTAGGCAACTCTACATGAGTTCGGTCACATTTTCTGCAATGTTATTACATCATTTTGTCCAATAATTTCAGCCAAGTGTTGACTTGTTCAGAAGCAGCTAGAAGAGACAGATAAGTATTTGGTGTCTACATCTTTGTCTCAAGTTTCTTTGAAACTCAGACAAAGAGAGGCAAACTGTAGACACCAAATTTTAAAATATTTTTTATCCTAACTTTATTTTTACTTTTAGTAACAATTCTCTTAATTCCATAATTTCTAGTTCTTAGACTTTTAGAATTTGTATAACACTTTAGTTTTGTTTTAGATTATTATTATTTATCATTTTTTATTTTGTATTCATTTTTACTCTTTTAGTTATTTGTTTTATTTTATTTTATTTTATTTTATTATTATAAGACTTTTAGCATAAATTTTTGCCAAAAAAGAGAAAATTTGGAAAAAATATGTTTTATTTCTTTTTATTGAAAAAGAAAAGAAAAAGGAAAAAAGTGAAAAAAAGAAATTGTAGCTTTTTATTTTATCGTTTGGGTACTAATTTTGTATATTTTATTTAAGTTTGTTTAAATTGTTTTTTTTTGTATTTCATTTTATTGAAAAAAAAAGGGATCTACGGCATGCAAGCTGCGTATTTTCGCAGCTTGCAAGGAAGGACTTGGGCAGCCCTTTGGCTGCAATTTTAGGAGAAGATGGCTAAGGGTTTAGGGTTATGATTCCCCCATATAAAAGGAAAGAAATAGCAGCCGCAAGGGAGGAGAAAAGATCTGGTCAGAAAATCTGGATGAGGGCTGAAAAGAAAAAACTAGGAAAAACAAAGGGGCTGGGTATGGAAGGTAGAGTGGGAGATAGGGATAACCGAGAGTGTTGGAGATAGAGGGGAGAGAACTCTAGAAGAGGAACAGCTAGGTTTAGCCGAGAAAGGGGAGAGAGCAAGAGAATGGCGGCATGGGTTCTGAAAAAAAACAAGAAAGGGAGAGCAAGAGAGAGGCGGCGAAGAAAGATCTGAGGGGGAGGAACCACCGTGAAAGAGAAAGTTTATCGAGGTTTGACGGAAAACAACTAAGTTTGAGGCAAATCAGGAGGGAGCTACGGAAACTTGGTGGTTTCAGACCAAGCTCAAGTTTTTGCCATCGCTAACTCTACCGAAACAGCAGTGTAAGGTCCCTTTTAGTCTTGTCCTATAGTCAATCTCTGTTAATAAGTCTTTGTCTATGAGGGTTAGGAATCTACTTGATGTTTCTAATCATTTCTCTTGGCTTTGAGTCCGCAAGTATGAAAAATCTGGTCGCAGTAGTTATTTCTTTACCGTTAGTTGCAAAGCTGCGGTCTTTTGCTGTTATGCTACATAAATAAACTTTGTTAGGGTTTCAAATCTGTTGGGTGTTGTATATTTTGTTCCAAGGCTGTAGTTTAGTGGCAAAGATGTTAACTTTGACAACAAAAATGACATTTATATAGTCAGTTCATTCGAAAATGCATCTAAATTCCTGTCATCTGTTGGATAAGTCGTGAAGGTCCCAATTTGTGCGTGTTTTTCCTTCTGATTTTTCATGCTGAAATCCAAAGGTCTTACATTCCCAAAGTTGGAAGATTGTTTGAGGATTTTGTTGGCTGAATTTAAATGGCGTTTAACTATTGGTTGCGCATAAAAAAGAAATCTGCTGCAACAAGCTCTAAGCTTTCGGTTTGTTGCAGCGGCGTTGGTGAGGCTTAGTCTTAGGCTAGTTGAGGTTTTGGTTTGGCCTGATTTTGTTGCTTGTGTCTGTTTGCTATCGGGTGGTGAGCTTTTGCATACATTTGCTACCATTTAAAGTGAGAAATGCAAGACATAACAGTTGGCCGCAACAATGACTTTGCTTGTAGTTTTAGTTACTCCTGACCTGTTTGAATTTTTGTTGGGCCGAAAGATGTGTTGTAGGATTTGGTGTTCATAGGCAATACCAGTTTCGTGTGTATGTAGGCTCTTTTTTTCTACTTATTGTGGGTTCAGCTTTGGGTAAGGGGGGGAAGCATGGAGATTTGCAGAATGTTGAAGTGATTCTCTGCGTGTTATCCTGCTTCACGTTCTTTTTCTCAGAAGTTTGGTTGGCTAGATTTGCATGTTCTTGCTCTCTGGATTTTTCTGTTTAAAGATGAAAAGAAAGTTTGGTTGTCTTGTTGTTTAATCTGAATGTTTGGTTGGCGGAGATGTTATTTGCGTTAGGAAAGATGGGAGATTGCATGTTGAAAAGCTCAACCTGTTGCAAATAAAAGAAATCAGCAGAAATAAAGAAAGCTTCGTATGCATGCATGAAAAATTTGCACTTTGGCCCCCCAATTTCAATCTAATGCTACAAAGGCCCAATTACATTCCAATTTCTTGCGATTAAGTCCTAAGTTGATTGCAATTTGAACTATTATTTGATCTTGTCCTTTACTTGTGGACCTTTGAGTTCTTAAATGTTTCAATTGGATTCGAATGATTGACTAATTCTTTCAATTGGGTCTTTGTATGCTTTAAACCTTTGTGTATAGGTTGTTTAGTCTATTTGGGTGTTTTAAGTGCTTCAATTTCGTGTTTATTTTTATTCCATGTAATTTATTGGTAATTAAATTGGTGCGTTAATCCTTTGTTTTGATGGATTTAACCCAAGTTATCCCTTTCTTTGGTGACTATAGCCCACATTAAGTTTTGTCCACTTTATTAGCGCCACAAAATGGGGAGATATAATTTCTTTTATCCTTTTTGTCTCTCCTATGTGATCCAACGTGCTAAGTGAGAATTACATGTCTAATTTGCTTTCCTTGCTTTTCTTTAGTTCCTTTATTTCATTTACTCTTGCTTTTATTGAGTTATTCTTTTAATGGGGTATGTGTACACCTCTTGGCTTGTAATAGATAGGGCTTGGAGAGCAATTTTATTCATTTTTCCCTTTCCCCTTTTGTTTTAGTTAGCAAAAATGTAATAGGTTCATTAGCTTGGTTGTTTGCCTTTGTTACTATGTGTTAATTTGCTTTATTAGACTCTTGCATCTAGTCGAGCATGCTAAGTGTTATGTGCTACGTGTTTATGTAACGGCCCCACCTCCCCTAA